GTGAAGCAGCTTGCCAACAATTTGCTTGTTTCCTTCTACCGCCCCGAATGAGTTGGGTCGCACGAGCTGCTTGTCATGAAAAAGAACGGTGAAGATTATATCATTATTGTTTTCCACTTCTGACATAGCGTTATTATTCGGTTCGTTGATCGCTTGTTATTTTGTCATTTGGAGATATTTTTGATTCCTTGGTAAGTATACATTAATGCATCTTTATATAATTTTTAAACTTGATTCATAGCAGAGCAGAACTCTCATTAAAGAATTCATATACCTATAAATCATATAGCTCATTTAAATTGTACGCTTACTCATTCCATATAATTTTGTAGAATCGTGGCCAACTCAATCCAAAAAACTTCCAACCACCTATCTCAATCTAATCCTTATCCCTTCCCATGGCGATCATGGGAGCCAGCCATTACCTTTCCTTTACTATCGGTCTTGGATTGACTTGCGTTCTTACTGCCCCACCCTGCGCTGCAAAATGAAAATGACAACGATAAGCTGACTTATGGATTTCAGCTCGGAAAAATCTTCCGGTAGAAGTCGGTTCAAACCTCCGAAAAAAAACCAAGGAGAAACTTCCAGAGGAGACGAAAGACCGACAAAACAGGCCCTACCGACGAAGTTATTGTTCTTGGCGATTTCAACCAACCGGACATTGAAATGGACTCCAACCCATAGTGGTTTTTTTTGTATTGATCACGAGCGTTCATCTTTCCACGTAGGAACCATCCAGCTCCTGGACAGTTATAGCAACAATCAATACGAAACTAACGATTTCAAATTGGCTCACTACTTGACTAGCCTATTGGTCCCAAGCAAACGATTAACGTATCCCATTCTTGTCGAAATTCTAGTACTACGTAATGTTTGTTTTGATTCGCTATGAAACGTTGACAGATAAAATGAGGGGTTATTGGTTTTTCCTATGTTTTGAGGGCTGAATCGATTAGCTTGGGACCGAAGAGAGTACCAGAGCTGAGCCAAAAAGTTGAGCACGTTATTTCGGGACCTTCTAGTTTTAGAGTTACCTCTATAGTACCGCAATTCTGTCCCAAATCAATGTACTGTTGAATGAAAACAACCGCTCCCTTGTATCTCTGCTTTGTGAGTGCTCGTGATACAGCTCCTTTCCTCTCCACGACACCCGAACCTTTAGTATCACCCTGCTTTAGTTATCGTGATCAAAAATAATATTGTTCATGATTTCATTAGCACTCCAAACGCTGCGCGCTGTGTCATATGACTTCAGTAGAGCTGACCATCGCAGTATTGTCGATGTCTAACCTAGATTGGAAGCATATTCTAGATCCTGTAGACGTCCGTATTGCTGCATGTTGGAGTAAATCGGTAACGCAGTGTGCTGATCACCTCCTTGGAGACCGAACGTCACCCCTAGCAACCTAAGTTTTCTTAAATAAACAACGGTGAAAAACTTTTCATTCCTGTTCAAGACTCCACTCAAGCTAGTCGTTAAATAAAATCCATTCTACTTTTAAACTTTGCTGTTCCGGTTCTTTCTAACAATCAAGACTGCACAAACCTTTTCTCACGTCTTGGCATATGTCATTGGCAGGGACGTTTCCAAAAAGATCATCCATATTGACTCTCACGTCCCGTGGATGACGAAAGATCTTCGCTCATTGAAAAGAACTAATAGCGAATTCGTTTATTATTCAGTTCCAACCTGGATCGGGTATCAAGATTGGGTCTGCTTGTTTTCTGACAAACGTCAGTTTGCTCGTTTGTTTTTAAAACCTAGCTCAGGTTGAGGTTCACACTGACAAAAAGTTCGGTTTCGCACTGGGTTGGAACTGGTGTTAACCCCGATAATAAACGAATTCGCTATAAGAAGGCTGCTATTTATTGTATATTATTTATTGTTTATCAGTCAACAGGTAAAATGTTTACCCCAATGACACTTGTTCTACAACTAATACAAAACTAACGAATAACATACATTAACATAAAACTCGTTTAAAACTACGCTTATTTGTTTCTCGTGACACGTTGAAATCGTACACATAATAACACCGGTTGAATACACGGGACATGCTTCGCAAAGGTTCGTGTAAGCCATAATTAGTTCATGCCGGAGGGATGGTGATAAACGAGTGCGACTGAAAATTGCGATGACGTGTGTTGATGTCCAAGAGACTAAGAAGCGTAGGACTGTCAATGTTGTCTTGTAGAAGATCCCAAACAAAGCACGCTTTTGCCACGTTGCGTCTTGCTTCTAGTAATTCCAGATTTATAAGTAGACAACGGCTTTCATAACTGGGCAGGTTGAATGGATCTCTCCACCTAAGATGACGTAGAGCGAACCGGACGAATTTTCGCAGAACAGCTTCGATGCGTTGAATTTCATTCTGGTAATAAGGAGACCAGACGATAGACGAATACTACAAGATAGAGCGCACAACTGAGCAGTATAAAGCTTTTAGGCAGTAAACGTCCTTGAACTTTTTTGCAAAGCGAAATAAAAATCCTAGTTGCGATGAGGCTTTAGACACAACGTACGCGACGTGAAGGTTAATTTTGTATCAACCAGAATCCCCAGGTCCTTGACTGTCGAATCACGTTGTAGATTCACGCCTCCCAAAGCATAGCTAAAATGGAAGAGTGATTGCTTGCGGCCAAATGAAATAACCGAACATTTGGACACGTTCAGCGACATTCGATTAATATGGCACCATTCAGCGAAGGCTTCCAGTTGTTGTTCTCAGAAGATTTACTAAATTCCGCACACTGCCGCTGAAATGCTACTATGTCAGACTCAACCACGAGTATAAATGGTTAAGTCGTCTCTGTTTTCAACGCTATCAAAGGAGGATTCAACGGCGGCTAAAATCACATCCGAAATCCTTTTGGAACTTCGTAAATGAGTAACTAAGGGAAGTCGGCTTACCCTCTTCCATGATTTTTAATCATGAAACTGCTGGCAATAAACAAGACATTTGCAACCTGTTCTCAGCCAAATTTGCTAGTGTGTTTGAAGACGAGCAACTCTCCGTTAATCTCATTACTTCCGTGGCCAGTAATGTTCATTTGGTCAACCAAACGCTTAGCGTTGTCGACGCCACTAAAGATACGATTTCTAGAGCAGCATCTAAACTTAAGACTTCAGCTAAAGCTGGACCCGATGGTGCTCCGCCGATTATTCTTAAACAGAACATCACTTGTCTTTTAGATCCACTGCGCCGCATATTTCAGCTCTCTCTTTCCAGCGGCATCTTTCTGTCTTGCTGGAAGACTGCGGATATGTTTCCTGTTCCATAAAAGGGAACCAAACGCGACGTAAACAACCGGGGGATCACGTCGCTGAGTGCTGTATCAAAACTTTTTGAATTGGTTGTCGTAGAGTCCCTAAATGCGCATTGCAAGCAATATCTAAGTATAGATCAACATGGATTCATAACTGGGCATTCCACAACAACGAACCTGCTGTGCTTAACGTTTTATATCACAGACAGTTTGATTGCCCGGACCCAAACGGACGTTATTTACACAGATCTAACGGCAGCCTTCGATAAGCTGAACCACGAAATTGCGATCGCTTAGAGGTTAGGGATCGGTGGAAATCTTTTGAGATGGTTTCGTTCATACCTCACGGAGCGGCAACTGACAGTAACTTTGGGTACTTGTCGCTCAGCAAGCTTCTGCGCAAATTCCGGTATACCTCAGGGTAGCCATCTAGGACCATTGGTATTTCTCCTTTACTTCGATGACGTTCACCATGTCATCACAGAGCCACGATAATCGTTTGCAGACGATCTGCAAGTTTTTCTGCCCATCCGCTCACTCGCCGACTGCCGTTCTCTCCAAAATCAGATTGACATCTTTGCTGACTGGTGCAGTCTAAACCGACTGGTGGCATTGCGTGAAAGACTTAGGCGTTTTTCTAGGCTCAAAGCTGACATACTCACACCATATATCGTATGTCGTCGACAAAGCGTCCAGAACTCTTGGTTTTGTCTTCATGATTACTAAGAACTTCACAGACATTTACTGCTTGAAATTGCTCTATTGATCTCTCGTACGATCTTCGTTGGAATACTGCTCTGCAGTCTGGAGCCCGAACTACAATAATGGGGCCGAGCGAATTGGATCTGTGCGTAAGCTGCCTTGGACCCACTTCGTCTTCCAAGCTACGAGAATCGCTGTCAATTGATCAATGTCGAGCCCTTACGTATCCGAAAAGATGTTTTCAGAGCCTTGACCGTCGCCGATACTCTGCAAGGGAGAATCGACTGCGAAGCAATTCTGCAACAAGTTCAACCTCTTCCACTTCTTCAAACTAATTATAGCTATTTACGACTTGCAGCAAGTGTTCAACCGAGTAGCGTCGATGTTCGATTTCCACTTGACACAGAATATGCTTCGCCGAAGATTCTCTGCCTTTTTGCTGACCGAAGGCGCTTGACGCCCACCAGCTAAGTGTAAAATTTTAGACTTATACATTTATAGTAACTTGTCAATGTTTTCCTTGTTATTTTCGTTTGTAACTGTAGTATATGTAGTCTGTATAATCTAATTTTTTTTTACAACACATCATTGGGACTATTTCTAGTCTTTTGATGCAAACATAACAAATAAACAAATAGGAAGAGGAGGGGTATAGCGAGCAGCCCGCAGTTTGGCCCTGGTTTTCTAGCTGCATGAAACAAATCAAATATTGATTCTACCACCAACCAATTTGTTACAAACGGCCGGAAGTCCAAGCTGGTGCACGGGATGCTCACTATGCCCCTCTTACCCCTAAACTTGTTGAAAACAAACTTTTGATATCGTAGGTCGTGTGCCTAATAATGACGCACACACTTTTCTATGTTCCTACTGTCGCAATCCAGAACAAAACCATAATTTGAACTGAGCTTCTCACATACCACGGTAGAGACCATGTGGCAACATTTTCTATTATTATCAAGATAAAAGCCCAAAAGAAATAGAAGGTGTTTCTCGAATTAGTCACATTAAACAAAGGAACCAAATTTGCTAACAGTTTATCTCCCAATTCATAGATACATAAACATTTACAAAGTTCTAATTCTCTCTACACAATCAATCGTCTTATTCTTAAATGATTCTTTTCGTTAAAGCCAAATTAAAGTAAAGTTAATAAATATCAACATACGTACAGAACATTTCACTATCAATCAGCATCAGCCAATTTTAGGCGACCTGTTTTTCCTCGGTAAACTGCGAGGACACCCAAGTAAGTCCCCATTTTAAATTCGTCAGCAGAAATTTAAGCGCCTTGGTCCATTGCTCCTCAGAGTTGAACTGAATCCTGAAATGAAACACACATTTAAAAAAAAAAAACTACGAACTAGACCAACTCACAAACTTACTTGATTGAATAACTGTTCCCCGTAGCGGAGTCTTCTATCTTGCCCTTCTCCATTCGATAGGGCAGGCAAAAGTCCGGATCTTTCTTGACTACCTCCTCCTTGAACTGCTGTAGACAATCCAGAAAAGCCACCATTGCAGCGTCGAACTTTGTGTCCCAGAAAAACCGAAATCCGCCGCTCCCGTACAGTGGAAGTTCCTTCCCATCGCTCAGCACTTCTATGTGCGAATGATTACCGTATGGTACCAACCGGTAGTTCTTGAACGTTAGGTTCATCTTCCTAGCCAACGCGGACAGCAGCAGGCAAGTTTGTCCCCAGGCGGCATTTATCTCCGACCAGTCAACCGGTGCCGAAGGCAGCCTCCCCAAACGGAAGTTGTTGATCGTTCCAAAGTGTCCCGAGTGCCAAATGTGAAACGTTACATTGAACACGTTGGTCTTTTTGAGCTTGTCAAGCTGGACCTGTGCGTACGACATTTGGCACTCGAGCGATCGGAATTCGTCCTCCGTTGTAATCACATCCCTCCGATGCTTGGTATACTCCCGCCAGTACTTCTCCTCCTCATTACTGAGCCTCTGTTTCTCCGTCTCATGCTCCTTAACAGCCAATTTGATAGCATCTTCCTCGCGGGTCAATTCGGCCAACTCTTGCAGTAATCGTTCTTCGTCGCCTTTCAAATCAGACAGTTCTTTCTCCAGCAGATCCACGTTCGGAACGTCGTCCGTCATCTCTAGCTTTTTCAGGTAGTTATTATAATCGTTCCATTCGTCCTCTGCCATCTTCAGCTGTTTGTCCATCAACTCCAGCAGAGTATCCGTGCACTCGTCACATAGAGGATGATCGATTTCGGAATTATTCGAAAGCGTATCAAACAGCTCCGCTTTGACGCGTAAATTTTGGCTAAGTGACTCACGATCCGGACCATCGGAAAGTAACATAAACCCATTGGTATCGGTTCCGCTGCATTCCGCGAAGCGGAATGGAGGAACAAAGTGATCCATACTGGCAGATTGCGATTCGATATCCACCTCGATGTGCGAATTGATGGGTACTGGAATAAATTGAATATTAGCTAGATTCGTATGCGTGGGAGTGAAGTCCGCCAACTTACGAGCCAATTCGGCCAGGGTGTGCTCCCCGAGGGCAGCAAAGGAATCATCGATGTGGATTGGCTGCAGACAGCGCTGACACGAGAAGCTTACGCTAACTTTAGCGTCGTTCATGATGCTCGGCGGGATGTTTTGCGATTTCCTAATGCTAGCATGCGCACTGTTGGATTTTAAGTAGGAAACTAATCCTTTGGAATGTACATTGAATCGATTTTGAGGAAAATTTGCACAAAAAATCACGATTTTCACCTTTTTGTTGTGATTTGGATATTTTTTGCAACTTTGTTCTGACACTTCTGGATATCAAAACAAAGTGGAGCATCATTTGAAAGGGCGTAAACCATCGGTAAGAAATAATTACACGGTAATCGCAAAATACCCAATAAAGTCAATACAGAAAAACAAAACTACCTAAAGATAGAATTCTTTAAACTTCCCGAAAAAATAATTTTAATAAATCAACAAAATTACCTCGGAAATTACAATGATATTTACGGTTGAATTCCGAGTACATTTAAATTAATTGTTAAATTTTGGCACGGGAGAAAAAGTTCCGATTTTTAACGTTTACATGTACAACAAACAATGTAAATTAGTGTGATGAGATCAAATTCAATAAAAAGTACTTAAAGTAATTAATGCGTTTTGAAGTAGTACTGACGGTAATTAAAAGTAACTATCCGTACTTAATGTAATTAAAAGCTTTGAAAATGTAGTTAACGTACTTTAATTGCGAAATTTCGACTGTTATTAATGGAATTAAAAAGTGTAATTGATGTAATTAAAGCAGTAGTTATAACAGTATACTGGAATTAATTTTAATTACAGCTTTTACCTGCGTCGGAGTTAAAGCTTTTTGCGTGCCCCTAAGAAAAATCATTTTTTATTGTTAAGATGCTTAACAACCCCCCTTTTTACTGTAAATTTCTCACATACACCGAAAATAGTTTTCATGTAGCTTCCATTGAAAACTCAAATGATTTTCATTCATAAACAAAATTAATGGCATTCATCTGAATGTCACATAACATTTATGCGATCACGTTAATTTTATATGATTTTTTCATATGAATTTCAACGGCCTCATAATATTTATGTGAGTTGTGGTGGGATTTTTAGCTATGTGATCACATGAAAGCTATGTGAAATTCATATGGTTTTCATCCATTAGATATGTGATAATTTTTTTGAGTGTACCATGGTTTTCATTGTTGTGAACCAACCCGCATAAACAATAACCACAGACAAACAGACATAACATATTGAATATGTCTCACTGTGAAACATCGTCGCTAAAACATTACCGCTATCTGTTGGGTATACTGTGGTGGGCAGTACACTGAACAGATGGCGGTAGTGTGTAAACGTCAAACATGGAGGCGAACCAGCCTAAGGCTGAAAGCCTCCTAAATAAAGCTAAATCTATATATATAAAAATGAGTTTGCGTTTCCTTTGTCACTCCAAAACTCAAGAACGGGTGAACGGATTAGAAGCATTTTTACATGGATTTGTTCGTCTTGACCTCCGCTGTGTTTGTATGAAACCAAATGCAATGAAAAAGGCACTGGAACATTCGAAAAACCGTGAAAACCCGAATTTACGAGAAACCAGAAGGGAGCTTGCAGGGATGAATGCGAAACAATCTAGAAGGCGATGCAGCAATCAGTCATCCGTTGTGCAACAAAGAAAACCTAAACCATACACAACTGTTATCAGAAAAAAACCAATTGCCATCCCGCTTCCAATCTCGAACGTCCGTTCCACATATTACCGCCATCACGCATTTTTCAAATCAAGTTGTAATCTATCGCCGGCAACCATCGACGGTTGCCGTTGCCACCGGCATAAAACCCACCAACTTCCGTTGTCCAATACCTACCTTAATAAACAGTGCAGCTTCTCATCATCGATTTCAAAAGGTGAGTATAACTTAGAAACAATAAACATATTAAGAGAGAGACATTGATTTTGAGACATTTCAATGCAGCCCTATAACGGTAAATAGCCAGAAAATAACTTCCATAACGAAGAAAGTGAACCGATTAATTGTCACCAGTCACCGGAAACCTTCGCCGAAAGCCACTTCCAACAACAGCCATCCAGATACCAGGTTCCGATCGCCATCATCACAGCCATTCAGCATCAAATACCATCGTTTTCAACTTCCACTGCTACCCATCATCAACTTCTACAAAAGGTTAGTTTGTCTTTGAGTTTGTATACTTCATGACGTGTTTTTTATGCGGAAAAATGCCGTAAATTACCCCAACAAAGAAAAAGACCTAAGAATGAACTAAATATCTATTTTATGCTTCAACATTATTGCATTAAAAACATGCATTACATTCAATTATTCAACAGAGAGCAATGCCAAAGGTAAAAAGAAACATAGGTCGTCATACCCGTAATACCCGAAATCAAAGAATTATTCGTACAAACCGACATGCTTCACAAGAAATATCAATCATTATCGCATCACAAAATGAGGTTGAACAAGTTCAGGCAGAAATAAACAGCTCAGCAAATATTAGAAATCAAAATCATTTGAACAACCAAGAGGGCAGACCAATCTCTTCGAATGCTCTAGATCGCATGGCATTTCGTTACGATCCAACGAAAGATTACTCTGCTGTTTCATCAGTGGACATAGGATCTATGACAGTGGTTTGCCAATACTGCAAAGCTCTAAAATATCCAAAGGAAACAAATGGATTTTGTTGCGCAAGTGGAAAAATTAAATTGCCAGTCCTGAATCCACCTCCAGAGCCATTGCACAAATTGTTATCTGGAGCAGATACTGAATCGAAGCATTTCCTTAAAAATATTACGTTGTACAACAATTGCTTCCAGATGACATCATTTGGAGCAACAAATATTGTGAGGGATAATTTCATGCCGACATTCAAGGTGAATTAAAAAAATTAAAACTCAATAATTAAAACAGTACATTTAACCGAATCGATCAAAATTATTTTACAAAAAAATAACTTTAAGATTAAAATTTTGCGCCTCAAACTGTGTTTACGGAATCACTTAGAAGTTTTTTCCCAAAGCAACAAAATAATTAAATGAAACTGAGCTCTGGAATTTGGAGATACCGAACCAAAAAAAAAAGAATAATCAAGTATTTAAAAAAAATTTACATACAAAGTTCTATTCAATTTCACTCTAAGCCCCGTGAGATCAAATCGGTTAAAAAAAAAATTCTATTACAATGTACAACCAATAAATTGACAAAATGATATGATAACCTTGGTAAGAAAAGATTAATTATAATTCTAAATTATAGATTCAAGGCCAAATCTATCATAGAGTTGGTTCATTGTTGCCACAGCCCGATGCAGAACATAAATTTCTTCAAATATATTTTATGGGAAATTCTGGTGAAGAAGTAGATCAGCGATGTGTAAACAATCCATCGGTCAGAAGAGACATTGTGGAGCAACTGCAAAACTTCTTACACCTGAATAATGAACTGGTTAGAATGTTTAAAAATGCACTTGACCGCATGCCAACCGACGACCTCAGAATAGTAATAAGAGCTGATAAAACTCCAGCAGGACAACACGTGAGAAGATGTAATGCCCCAACGATCGATGAAGTTGCCGTAGTTGTTGTTGGAGACAATTTGGAGTCACGCGATATTGTGTTACATCTGCGAAATGAACAACTACAGCGAGTGAAGGAGACACATCGATCATATGATGCATTGCAATATCCATTAATATTTTGGCAAGGGGAAGATGGATACCATTTTTCAATCAAGATGATCAATCCCATAACAGGTAAATCTATTTATTAAATAGTTTGATAGAGATCCAAAGTGTTCAATATCACAAATATGAAACATCTATCTATATATAAAACTTAAAATGAATATACAGGCAATGAAACAACCAAGAAAGTCAGTTGCATGAACTTTTATGCGTACCGGATGATGGTACGAGAAAACGAAGAGAACCATATACTAAAGTATCGTAAACTATTTCATCAATATGCAGTTGACATGTACGTCAAAGTAGAAACAGAGAGATTAACATATATACGTCTGAATCAGAAAAAACTGCGGTCAGAAGAGTACATACATCTACGAGATGCCATCAATATAGATGGAAATGCAAACAATGTTGGCCGGTTAACGATTCTCCCAGCAACTTACGTTGGTAGTCCGCGACATATGCACGAATATGCACAAGATGCAATGACATACGTACGCCACTACGGAAGACCAGATTTATTCATTACGTTCACATGCAATCCACAGTGGACCGAAATAAAACAAAACTTATTTCCTGGTCAATTACCCGTCGACCGACATGACATAACAGCAAGAGTCTTTAAGCAAAAATTAAAATCACTCATCGATTTTATAGTGAAGCATCATGTATTTGGAGAAACACGCTGTTGGATGTATTCGGTGGAGTGGCAGAAAAGAGGTTTGCCACATGCTCATATTCTCATTTGGTTAATTGATAAAATAAGGTGATCAAATAATTTTGAGAATTCAAATTTTTTCGTTTGTCGAAATGATATTTTTTGCTATTCCCAGGCCAAATGAAATAGATGACATAATTTCTGCAGAGATTCCTGATCCATCAATTGATCCCGAATTGTACGATGTAGTCACGAAAAACATGATTCACGGTCCGTGTGGAGTGTTAAATAGGAATTCTACATGCATGATTGATGGAAAATGTAGCAAACGATACCCCAGAGCTTTAATAGCCGAGACGATCACTGGCGATGACGGATATCCACAGTATCGGCGTAGATCTACCGAGGAAAATGGACAAACAACAACAGTTAAAATAAACCAACAAGAAACAGAGGTACAAAAAACTATTTAAACTGAGTTCTGCAATTTAACAAAAAATTAAATAATTCAAAACAGATTGATAACCGTTGGGTTGTCCCATACTCCCCACTGCTGTCGAAAACTTTCAAAGCTCACATCAACATTGAGTACTGCAATTCAGTAAAGTCTATAAAGTACATATGCAAGTATGTAACTAAAGGAAGTGACATGGCTGTGTTCGGTGTTGATTCTGATAGATGCAATGATGAAGTCTCGCAATATCAAATGGGTCGTTATGTGAGCACTAATGAAGCAATTTGGCGAATATTTTCTTTCGCAATACACGAGAGGTATCCAACCGTTATTCATTTGGCGGTACATTTAGAAAATGGCCAAAGAGTGTACTTCACAACCGAAAATGCATTGCAACGTGCTGAACGACCACC